TGTTTTGTTTTTTCTGTGGTGCAGAGCTTGGCCGTGGCTTCTTAAAATGTCTCACAGTGTTTTCGATTCAGGTGCATTTTTTTTCTCTTTTTTTTCTGAATTAAAAGCTGCACCCGTGTTTCTTTGTGGTTTTGCTGCTTTTATTTAACTTTTCAGTTCTAGGGAGGTTATCTCTCCCCACCCCCCCCTCCAGTTGTTAATGAATGGATTTGCTGTGCTCTGAGGACTGGATTGACATATTTGGCACCTGCTTTTCAGTTTTCCAGAGTATTTATGTATAAATATATATTTTTTTATTCTAGTTTCAAAGTTTGGAAGACAACAGACTGATGCTTTTCTCTAAACCTGTGAATGTTTCTGCCCAACAGGATCCCGGCCCATTACGTCTACCCTCAGGCCTTTGTTCAGCCCAGTGTGGTGATCCCTCATGTACAACCTTCTGCTGCTACGGCAACAGCCGCTGCTGCTGCTGCAACCTCCCCATACCTTGACTATACTGGAGCGGCTTATGCCCAGTATTCTGCTGCTGCCACTGCTGCAGCCGCCGCCGCAGCTGCCGCTTATGATCAGTACCCCTACGCTGCCTCGCCGGCGCCCACAAGCTACATGACTACAGCCGGGTATGGATACACCGTCCAACAGCCGCTCGCCACTGCTGCAACACCTGGAGCCGCTGCAGCTGCTGCAGCCTTCAGCCAGTATCAGCCACAGCAGCTCCAGACAGATCGCATGCAGTAAAACCACAATGGTCACCTTTTCCCACCGGCATTTTTAACTGTTCACCAAAGAGCTTGAAGAAAAAAAAAATGGAGACAAGCGAGAAGTGACTGTTTTATCCAAGTGCGATCAGTATTGGATGTATATGAATATTTAATATTTATTCAGCATTAGAATATTTCATGTTAAATGAACAAAATTTGCTTGACCTTCCGTGAACTGTTGCTGAGATTTATTTATACAGTCTGGAATCTTTTATATGACACTCCCAAATTATATTTTATGATCAGGTCTTTTTTTTTTTCAATAAAAAAAAAAACACACACACAAAAACACTCAAATACATGAAAAGAGTGGGTCACATGATCACCCACTTCTGTATTTCATAGTTTTGGACCATTATTTTTTTAACGGTTTGCAAAGATTAAGACAGGAGTACATATATTGTTAGAGGGATTTGTTAAACAGCATTTAGAGAGAAATGGGGTACTTTCCCCTTAATGGTTTGCTTTAAATTGTATTTTCTTGATGGCACATATGAAATATGACAACAAAAAGCTGGTAAAAGCACTCACCTTTTCTTCCCTTTGCTTAAGCAAATTGGAAGGAAAAATCTGCTAAATGTGAATCTTATATTTTGATAAAATATTTCCACTGTGTGCCTTTTTAAATTATGCTATTTATGTATTTATTCAGGAGCCTTAGAGCAATAAACGCTTTATTTAACAACACACGTAAGTATAAGGCCTGCTGTTGAACATGTCCACATGTCCTGCTGCATTTCTCATGATCAATAGCATGTAATGTTGAAGTTAACCTGGTATAACTGAGTACAGTGCTGTACAGCAAACAAATATGTAAGCAGGCGCTATAAATTTAAAGCCTATTTTTGTTGTTTTTCTCTAGTTTTTATGTTTTTTCTAAGGTTTGTGTCTCTTAAACATATCTTTTTATACTTGGCCTGTTTGATAAGGACAGGGCTTAAACTGCATGAACTGTTAACTTGTTGACGTCTCTTGTCTTTTGACATTAAAGGTTTTCAAATCCAGGTATAACGGCTGTTTATCTTGGAATGCATGATTCCAAATAAGGCAGTTTGGGAAATAGAATAAAATGTTCCTCATACTGAGTCTTTGTGCTCTGTTTCTTCCCAATCCTTAAGAGACGAATGAGACAGTGTTCAACTTTTTTCTGTATCCTCACCCTCTGCTTGACATGTATTTTACAACTGCTAAGTCAGAATCGGTGTTTGAGAAAAGTACACGTGTTTATGAGAGAGCTTATAGATCGCTATTTGCTTTGACATACTCCTTATCTGCTATTTATCTTTTGAGTCTTTTAAGTTTCCATGATTTTGTTTTGATTACCTTTTTTGTGAAATCTGTAGGTATTCAGGACAGAGCATCTTATCTGCATTACTTTGAATTATATATATATATATATATATATATATATATATATATATATATAGTCTTATAATTGTTCTTGCAGATATCACATGGTGATTGACATTTAAAATAATAGGTAATTAAAATAAAGAAAAAAAATTTGGTTTTGTAGTTTGGATTTTATTTCCATTTTGATTTATAATCAATAACATATGTCATTTTCAATATTACTTTAACTTTTCAAGTTTTTGAATTACGAGGGATTTCTATATGGAATGCTCTGTTTTAATTGGGCAGTATCAGGGCATTTTTTGACTTACTCTAGTTTCTTGTCGCTACATTCATCATAAAAACACGACGCATTCAGAAACCTTGAATCGCAATAACAGTTTATTCGGTTCGCAAAAAATAAACTGTCTAATTCTGCATTGAATTTTTCAATTAACTGAAAACAAAAAACATATACTCCATCATGGTTATCCTTGCTGGGGTCATGAGGGGTGCGAGTACCCATCCCTAGCTGTCTACAGGCAAGAGGCGGGGTACACCCTAGACAGGTCATGCACAGGGAGACGTGCAAAATCCATGCAAGACCCTGGGCCGAGAATCGAACTTGGAACCTTCTTGCTGCGCGGCAGGAGTGCTACCCACTGTGTCACTGTGCAGTCACCATATAGTTAATGGTGTTACTAATTCTTAATATTGAATTGAGTCGATATGTTGGGACAATTTTTAAATTGTATAATGATTTTAGATGAGAAAAGAGAAACTATATACTTTACAGCTTTTCCCTATAATAAGTAGATGTAACACAAATCTATGTAGTCCAAATAGATCAAGGCACTTGGACCTTATTAAGCTAAAAAGAGCAGGGTGACTTGCACCGTTGTTAACACTGCTGGCATGGAAGAAGGTCATGCATTTAAATCCAAGCCTGGTGTCTGAATGTTTTCCCCTTGCCTGCATGGTTTCTTCCAATCACAGTCAAAATAACATGAGTGTTAATAGGTTACTCTAAAATTACCTTTAGGAGGTATTGAGCAAATGAGCGAACAAGTGCGTGCATGCAATAGTTGCTTGTTCTGTGTGTCTGCAATGGACTGGCCACCTGTCCAGGGTTAGTTTAGGCCTCTGAACTACCTACATACCACTAGAAATACTTACCTCTGTCAGGAGCTTTAGATTTCAGAAATGAAATCGTCTTATTCTTATATAAGTGTGAATCTCCAAAAAAAAGTAATAATTTTTTCTCTATATTTCAGAAATAAAAATCAATGTTATTTTTTATTATACATAGAGCCAAATATCTGAAATATTTATTTTTGTAATTTTTTTATGAATATGGCTCAAAGATAATAGAAAATCCAAATTTAGTCTGTCAAAATTATAATATTCTTAAAAAGTTCAATATTGGAAACTCTTGCTTATCTTACTATTGGGTTAACTTAACTATTGCAAAGGTTTCCTGAGCAATCAGTCTCTGTCAGCAGGCCACACAGTTCTATGAAAGACTTCTGACGTCCAGAAGACAGTCCTTGACCCCACACCACAAGAAGGTTAGGCAAGAGGCTGCTGCTAAGGAAACAAAGTGCTATATCCAAATATATTCACAGAAAGTTGTGTGAAAGGAAAAGGTGTGCAAAGAAAAGATGCATCAGCAATACTGACTGCAGTTTTAAGATGATTAAGAAAAATCCATTTAGAATTTGGGAGATCTTCACCATGACTGAACTGAAGCTGGAATCAGAGCATAAAGAGTCACTATGCACATGAGCTACACATGTCCCAGTACTCGTGTCAAGCCACACCTAAATCTGAGATTGGGCTGTTGCTTAGTGGTCCAAAGTCCTCTATTCTGATAAAGAAAATATCTGAATTTTATTTAGAAATGAATGTCCCTGAGGTGGAGGAAGAGTAGAGGGCCTATAATTACATTTTCTAGGCATCCAGATTGAAGTCGAAAAGAACCAGAAGCTGGTTTGATTACAATGGTGTTACAGTTCTTAATTGACCAGTAACAGCCTGACCTGAACTACATAGAGAATCACGGATTTTCAAGAGGAAGATGAGAGACAACATTAATGCAGATGAACTGAAGGTCATTGAAGGTTTTTACTCCTTTGGGACTTCCATAGACTGCTGGACTCCAGGCCATACTTCATTAATGCTGTAATTCATGCAAAAGGAGTCCAACACATAAGTGTTGAGAGATAAGAATATTTTTTTACATTATTAATATAATAATAATAATTGTTCAAAATTCCTGAGACACTGAACTTAGCAAAGGTTAAAATCAAGTTACCACTTCTTTTAGTGTTAGTACTTCTCTTTCTTGAAGCAATTAAAGGTGGCTTATATTCTGTTAATGAAATATTTTCAGTGTAAGTTCTGAGCCCACGCATAAACTTGTGGTTTATCTTACTTTCGGTTCCATTAAGGAATTTAAGGCGGGGGGGAAAAAAAGGAACACTGGAGAGTTTACATTAAACGCAACTACAGACCATGTTGCATTCAGGTAAAGTATGTGTAAACGTAGTTATGTTTTTTCTAATTTTATTTAATGTAAAGAAAGTGTTTGTATCGTTCTGTAAATACATACTTAAAAAACACGACAATTACCTGTAATGTAAAAAATATGAATTTGATAGAAACATGGCAAAAAAATGAGAATTTACTACTTCTAAAATACTCCATACTAAAGCCGGTGATGGATTGTTTTTTTCTTTTCTTTTTTTTATATGTTTTTTTTTTTTTGTCGTTATAAATCACAAGTGCCATATTTAGCTGTTTGCTTTCTAATGTCGCTAATACTAAGCGCTCCATGTGCGTACACTGCTTATACGCCGTAGTAGTTCCCAAATTTCCAATCTTTTTTATTTGATATGAATGCAGCAGCTCTAGCAATAGGTCGTCTGAGGAGGAAGTGTCACATCGAGTGGACTGTTTTAAGTAGCCGAGAAAACAACTCCTCGCATTAATCTACATTAAAGGAAAGATTCAGACTATCTTAAACAGCTTTTACCCTCTTGATAGTAAGTTATATTTTACTAATATCACTTTATATTTTTCGGGCAATCCGACTTTTTCGGTGAAAAAAGAGCGGTTAATGAAGAAAAATCAGTTAAACTCAGAGTTACTTTTAAATGTCTGTTTTTTTAAGTTTAAGTAGATTTTTAAACATGTAGTACTCGGGTCTTGGTTGTAAAATAATTTTTATATGCCCTGGTTGAAACCTCGCGAGTCTTGGCTGAACTCGCTGATGTTTAAAAACCTTTTTGCTACTAAAGTTGTGTCTAAAATGACATGTAAAGTTTCTTCTAAAGCGCTGTTTAAGCCTGTATGCATGTAGAACTAAACAAAAAGAAAACCAAAACACGTGACCTCACGTTCAACCGCTGAGAATAGTTTCGATTGCTGATTTTTCCATTTGCAGGTGTTCTGTCTATTGTTTTCCGCACTTCATGTTTCTCCACTAGCTGCACTTCTATGCCATCATTTACGGCCTCATTAAACTCTGCTTCAAGTCTCGTCGTACAATGGAGACCTGTATAGACGTGTATCTTAAATTATTTAATAATATCCCTTTTAATTCATCAAATGACCAAAACTGATTTTCTGACCAAGCCATAAATATGATCCTTATCTATTTACAAGCAGGGGCTTCCCTAGAGGGTTTTAAATATCGGCGTCTGATGGTTCACCAGTGGTGATCTTGAGATGGCCCACAATGATAAAAAAGTTAAGAAAGAGACTTTTTGTTTTCTCCAGTTTTTATTAAGTCTTTGATCTCTTTTAATGCATTGTTACTTCCATGTAAAAACTGAGGTCCAAGACTCATCTTGCATTTTCCAAAATCATCTAATAGATTATAATAACACCAAACACTTTATTTTATTGTGAGGTATCTATCCTGTTATGTTTGGTGTAAAGCAGCCTTTCAGAAAAAGAACATCAACACACAGTCAGACACAGTGGTGGTGGCATGGTGGTCTGTGGTTGCGTAGCTGCTTCATGACCTTGGCAGCTTTTAAAAGACAGCCTTTACTCTTGCTAAGTTTTATCTTTACATTTTTTTTTATTCAAGTAAGGTAAAGTAGAACTATTTTTAAAAACTATTTTTAGACAGTAAATACTGTCCTTTTTTTGGAACACTGTAAATAAGGTTTCACATTATATAAGCAGCTAATAACTGTTCTTATTTTGTGTTTTTTGGTGGCATTTATCTGAGATGTCAAAAGTCTGGCCCTGATCAGTAAAGTGTTACTGCACATTTTATGCAACATGCATGTGACACATTTTTCTTACGTCAAACCCAGGACATTTCAAGGTTTTGTTGTAATTTTTAGAAATGAGAACAAATGGGGGGGTGGGGTGGGGGGGGGTTAGGTAATCAATTATTTATAATCACCTTTTGAATGTATAACATACATTTTAAAGGCAAAAATACAGCAAACGTTTTTATGATTTACACCATTATTAATGCTTTAGTTATTACATCCTTTCTTTTATTTTTTCCTCATTATTTTTCTCCTTAGCAGTAATTACAATAATTATAGAAATATATTTATTTCTATTGTTACTCTTGAAACTGAGGCGCTGACATGATTGTAAGCCTGTAAAATATATCCTGACACATATTTTACAAAACTTTAATTTTTCATTTTGTCCTAATCACATTCTATGCACATATATTCATTTGCAAACTCAGATTTGCTCATTTGTTTGTATGTTTCTCTCCTCATCCAAACAATTTTACCTTTACTGTTAAAAGATCTCAGTCAAACTTTGTGGAGTATTATTTTATTTTTTTTTTTTATTATAAATTTATGTTGATGGTGCTATTCTGATAGTGGTTTGATGTGATCATTTTACAGCACATTTGAATGTATAGAACAAATTAGATTTTTCCTCAGATTCAGTCCTTTAATAAAACTGATATACAAGAGTAACAGATTTAAAATAGTTGTAAAATAGATATGGCATTTTGCAAATGTGTGAAGAAATTTGCTGATTACAACATTTTAAGTGATTTTACTCATTTCAGTACTGATGGTGTAGTGTACGAGGTGTACTTGAATGCACCATGTATTAAATAGCGTAACGGCGCAACGGCTTTAGCGGTAAGGGAAAACCGACCTGCACCGGAAGTAATTGTTTTCACGTGACCTTGTTGATTCCTCTTTTTTTTTTTTTTTTTTTGTAGAGATTTTCAAGCTATAATCTGCCTGACATAACATTGTTTTCCGTTTTCCTTTTAAATAATTTTACCTGTATCTCCGGCAGGGATGAGCACCGAAAAGGACAACTACGCCCCCGTGGAGGTGGGCTTCTCTCAGCCTCCTTTCCCCGGTCATCCTAACCTTCCTGCCGCGTTCAGCGTCAACGCACCGGGCTCGGAGTCCTACGGCAGCGGCGGCGTCCTGGCCCCCGGCGGCCTGCCCTACCCCTCTCCTCCGGTGTTTCCCGGAGCCTCCGGGATGGAAGGAAAACTTCAAGATGGAAATTCAGGCTATGTTAACCCCAATTACCCCGGTTATGCTGAAAATGCACCACCATATTCCCCACCTGCCCCGGGCTTTGTTGACAGCTATATGGCCGGTAAAAGCTCCTCTATCTGCTGGTGGTATAGATACATGATTATTATTATTTTATATAATAATTATGGTTTTGTCTTTACAAGCTAATCCTTACCCGAATGAGGAGGCGCCTCCTCCCTTCATAGACAATCAAGACTTTGATTTTGGATTAGACAACAAGAGCATTAGAAGAGCTTTTATTAGAAAGGTAAGATCATCCTAAAATCATAAAACAAAAGCAAATATATTTTCAAGTATGTTTCTTAAACAGTTTGTTCAGGGATAACCATTTTATTTCACACAAAAAACGATTTTCGTTTCAACAACTTCTATTTTCCATTACATTTTATTTAATCCAACAAAAGTCATCACATTTGGACCTTAAGAAAAATCTTTCCATAGACGTCTTTGTCATCTTATTGTCATTTTCTCCCCGTCTATTCATGAGTATTTTGAAACACAGTTGAACCACTTTCATTACTGTAAAAACAGATCAAATCGAAATTAATTGATTTAGAACTTCATTAATCAAAATTGAATCGATTCAGGACTTTGGCAAAAATAACCAGCCCTATACAAGATAGATGCATTTAAAAGTACAAAAAAAGGCAGTCATTAGGCGAATATTAAAGAAGACAATCACTAGTTAAAGTTATAAACCACTTGGCAGGATTGCTTCTTTAACAGATAGCCAAACTTTTAAGCAACCAATGGGCTTATTATACCTCTGTTACTTTCTACAGGGAGATTGGTAAAGCAGTATGACGTCACTGGAATATAAAGGTTTCCTTCAAAAACTACAAATTTTGGCAGATGTTCCATTGTTGTTGGATGTTCTGAAAACGTGCCACTGTGGATTTGTTGTGAAACATTGCAAGGACAATATGGATCACTATTATGCTTAAATTCCTAAGTTATTTATCCTTCCTAAACATCTTGCTGTTTTTTTTGTATTACTTAATCTGCTACATTGTACCTGCTCTATACTATTTTTGGGATAAAAACTGTAAAATAAAACACTCTTTAAATATGACAGGCTTCCAAACATTGCATCCAAGCACTTCTAACAGTCCTATATATTCTTTACTGCAGGTGTACTTGGTGTTAACGGCTCAGCTCATGGTGACCTTTGCATTTGTGGCCGTGTTCACCTTTGTGCGGGAAGTGAAGTTTTTCGTCCAGACGAACATCTGGACGTACTACTTGTCCTACGGCGTGTTCTTCGTGTCGGTTTGTGTGATCAGCTGCTGCGGAAACTTCCGCAGAAGACACCCCTGGAATCTGGTGGCCCTGGTAAGGAAAAGTGGGTTTTGCAACAGGAAGTGTGATGAGCAGGAGGAGGTTTCAGCACAGGAAATGTGGATGTTTTTCATGTAGCTTTTTTTTTCTTGACTGTTTCTGGTAGGAAGAAAAAAGTACAGATTGCAATTAAGGAACAAAGACAGATTAAGCTGTTTTTCTGCTCTGCATTTTAAATGATGTTTTCAATGTGTAGATGGCTGCTGATGTGGTGCGTTTGTTTGCTTTCCAGTCCATCCTGACTCTCAGCTTGTCCTACATGGTGGGAGCAGTCGCCAGCTTCCACAGAACGGAGTCTGTCATCATGGCGGTGGGAATCACCGCAGTCGTTTGTTTCACAGTGGTCATTTTCTCCATGCAGGTTTGTTTGGCTAAGCTGTCCCACCTTTGAGCCATGCGTGTTCATTTCACAGAAGGTGGCGGTAAGATAACTGATCATCTTGTTTTTATGGCCCACAGACCAAGTATGACTTCACTTCCTGTTACGGCGTCCTTTTCGTTTGCTTGCTGGTCCTTATCATCTTCAGCATCCTTTGCATCTTCTTTCATAACATGATCCTGCAGCTCGTCTACGCTGGACTGGGAGCTTTACTCTTCACTGCAGTGAGTCCTGTGTTTTCTCACACATTCAATGTAAAGAAGCCACAGCTGAGCCACTGCTGCAAAGGCTATTTGTTGCAACTAACCAGTTGACCTGCTACTGAACCCCAAAGAAGCTTCTTTTACTTTTTTTTCCTTTATGCTGCATTGGTTTTTGGTTGTAAAAAAGTAGGTTGACCACGCTCTAAAGGTTTCAGAATGAAAACGATAGAATATAAATGTAGGGCTTCAACTAAAGTTTATTTTGCATTTTTCATTTATCAGTGAATCGATTAATAATCGGATAGCCAAAGGTAACTTTAAGAAGATTGTTAATTAGATTAAACCAGGTGAAACTAAAACTTTCCCTCTTGAGGAGTTCTGGATAGAGCATATTGACAGACAAAAAAGTTTTTTTTTAAACGCAAAATGTTTATATATTTTTATTTTATAATTTTGATATAATTACTGCTCTAATTGGGTGCTCTGTCAACTAAATGCATGTTTTACAGTCTCTATAATCCAGTTAGGGATTAATAAATTATTAAATTAGTTGACGATTATTTCAATAAACAATTAATCGTGATTAATCCAATTTATTGTTTCAGCCCTATATAAATGTAATAAGCAAAATAAGAAAGAGGCATGATAATCGCAGATAAAAAGTACACGGATGTGTGCAACAGATCAAAATCTTTTTGAAAATCTTCTAAACATAGTTCTCACTTCAAACAGATTATTTAAAGCAGCTGTTTCAAAGTGTTCAGCTCTGACCCAGAATAGAAATGCAGAGCCCTGGGACTAAAACTACATAGCTATGGGTCATTTTTACCTCATAAACGTTTTTTTTTTTGTAGTTCCACAGTTTTTGGAGAAGTGGATTCACTTAAATGCACTCGATGGTTCCTGGTGATCTCACCAACTTACCTTTTTGTTTCTTTGTGCTTCTGATTATTTCAAGCACAAGTCATTTCCTCTTGGTCCACTGTGAGAAAATGTGGTTATATGTTTTCTGTAAGTAATATCCTCTAACAGGAAATCACTTCACGTCAATTTGGTTTTTAAAGAGTCCAAATCTCACATGGTCCAGGAGTCAGTTGTCGTAAACCGTGGTAGAAGCAAGTGAAATCTTCAAATAAAGGTTATTTTAAAAAACATAAAAGAAGCATATTCTGAATTTTATTAGTATATAAATTCATAGTTCATGGTAAAACTTTTATATTTAGCATTTTAATACAAACTAGCATTGTTAGAATTATAAAAGTATTTAATAATATTAGTAATTGACCATACCAAGATGTGACTGTTTGTATTCGTGTAGTTGGTGTCAACAAAGCCATAGATATGGTTACAGGTTAGTTTTTTTTTTTTATATATCTAACTGTATTATCAAAATAACTAACCCAGCTATTTAATTATGGATGACAAGGTGGGTAGGTTTACTGGAGGGAAGCGGAGTGATAGACTGAATGGTGATGCATTGGTATAAAATGGCAAAGAAATCATTTGGACTAAAGTAAATAAGAAATTAATGACTGAGCAAATACCCTCAAAATCCCATATACTCTTTGTTTTTTTAATGAGGACAATATTCACCTTTATTAAAATAAATATATTAACAAGAAAGTTAAAGTTTTGTCAAGAATAAAACAAATTTCAAGATTCCATTCAATTCAGTTTATTTATATAGCCCTAATTCCCAACACATGCCATCTCAAGGCACTTTACAGAAACAGTTCAACCAGATCATACAGTCAGACTGATTAAAACTTTTCTATCTAAGGAAAAACAGTTGATTGCATCGACTCATTGACTTAAAGGTAATCCCTCAGACCAAGCATGCTTGTAGCAACAGTGGAGAAGGAAAAACTCCCTTTTAACAGGAAGAAACCTCCAGCAAAACCAGGCTTAGTGTGAGTGGCCGTCTGCAGAGGCTGACTGGGGTTCAAGGAGACGTACAGAAAGAAGCAGAGGTACAAAAGGCAACTGTAAACCAGCTCCACATGCTGCCCCGTCCAGGAAACACACAGTCAGGCAGACAAGCTCTGAGCCAGCTCCCATGTCAGAGGATGGAGAGAGCACATACAGTTAGTCATAGTCAGAGAAACAGGACTACACTGAAAAACAGGCCAATCTCCAACATCTATAAACAAAGGTGTTGATGGCAGCAGCACAGCTGATATTTCTCTCCAGGATAGAGCCACAGCCAAACAGGAACAGACCAGACAAAGCTGCTATGAGAAAAAGCAGAGAGAGCAAAACGTTAGAGATTGAACTAACAGATTCTGCAGAGTAGGAGAATAGAGATGGAATGAAGCAGAATTATGAAAAAGGGTCGCTATGTCTTCCAGCGGTCTAAGCCTATAGCAGCATAACTATAGAGATAGCTCAGGATAACCTGAGCTTCTATAACTATAAACTTTATCAAAAAGGAAAGTTTCAAGCCTAGTCTTAAAAGTAGACAGGGTGTCTGCCTCACAGACTTAAACTCAAGATAAAATAGCATGTTAAATACAAAGTGCTGCCATTGCCATAGAAGGGCTTTTTGGTTTTTAATGGATTGCACCTTGTACAGTATAGTTTTTATAGTTTATATTTATTGACATCTCTGGTTAAGAAGTGCAAAAAGCTTTTGAATAATTTAATTAATTAGACTTTTTTTTTTATCACAATAACATAGTAGCCAGGCTGCAAAGGAGCTGCATATTTTTAAGGAGGGGAAAGGATAAACCATTTTTTTTTTTTTTTTTTTATCACAATAACATAGTAGCCAGGCTGCAAAGGAGCTGCATATTTTTAAGGAGGGGAAAGGATAAACCAAGCTGAATATGACCAGTGCTGCACTTCTGGGCATGTTGAAGAAAAACTCACAAAATGAAAGTATCTGACAGATTTAGACCATTTATACTTCACTTCAGAGGCTCAGTTCTAATAGCCACGCCTCAATATAGGAAAGGAAAGAGCACTAATTGTGTTAATGTCCTTAAGTCTGATAAGGGTGAACAAGAAAATTGTTTCTGGGCTAAACTTTCCCATATTTATGGTTTGTGTATCTGGACCAGTCATCTTGGCTGGGTCCTGTTATACTAATAATAATCATTGTCTACAGTAACTTCAATAATTAGAGTTAAAACAACTGGAACTATGAGAAAGATGTTGGGTGAAGATTTATGTAAGTTAACGTTCCCACTGTACAAGTCAAAGAGCATGCAAGGCAGGAAGTCCAGACGTCACTATTAGAGCAGAGCTTTTTTAGAGTGATTTATTGTTGAGGTCAACCCTTTTATTACTTCAGAAAGTTTCTACTTCCATATTCAAAATGTGGTGACAGCTTCTGTAATAATGTCTGCTCTTGTCTAGTTTTCATCATAAAATGTGCAACCCCGGAAAAAAAAATCCTGAATTTTATGTTTAGTTTTCCTTTGAATCTGTTTGTTTCTCTGGGAGTTTTAGGTAGGGGAAAAATAGATAATTATCTTAATAACTAGATTTTCCATCCTCTGGTAAAAAAATCCAAGGCCTTTAGATAATGGCTTCACTTTCATCTGCTTCGTCATTGGATAATCCAAAAATAAATTAGATATTTGTAAAGAACATTTTTAATATTCAGCTAAAACTGCAGTATTATATGTTAACTAGGCCAGATAAAAAAGCACAAACCAGAACTGCAAAACAGCAATTTATACATCTTAAAATACATATTTAACCAGTTGAAATATTTAGTTAAATATGAATTATGACATTATTATAGCTCCTAAAATCAAATATTCACTCCTTTTCTTTACCCTCTTGTCATTGTGGAGTTGTGTGGGTGTCATTATTAAGGACCGTTTAGAGAAACCAATTAACAAAACATTTATGTCTTTAAATGAAAAAAGTAAAATGCAAACTTATACAGAAAGACCTCATGATAGAATTTGAAGTGCTGCAAACCATGGCAGCATGCACACCACAATAGTTATGAACTAAACCTGGAGAAACCCTGATTTAAAGGGATACTCGGCCTGATAGCTTCTATGGTTAATAGGTTAATTTTTAGGGTTTTTTTGCATTAGATTTTATTTAAATTATCAGACTGATAATGTCATTTGCTTTTTATTTGTACTGTACACTAAAAAAGTATCACAATCAAAAGATTGTTTAGAAGCAACGTTTCATGTTTATTTTATTTCTGGTTGCAAACCTTCAGGCTCTTGTTGTCAATAGTATTTTTGACTGATTTAAAATTACATTTAAAGCTCTTGATAAAAACACCTGGTTTAGATTACACTGGCGACGATTATGAGGCACACTGAGAAAAAATGCTTAAAAAATATATCATTATTTAAACCCCATTAATACCATTGCAATGGATAATTTCATAATTGTTTTCTTAATATCTTGGAACCCCATTTGAGGGCGTAAAATGCCTTTAAATTGCATTGAAGTTTGGTCTTTACACCAGAGAAGAAGAGAAAATAGTGTTTTTTTTTGTTTGTTTTTTTTGTAAATGTATCTGTAAATGAATTTAAACATAACCTACCTGGCTGTAATGAAACGTCAGCAGACTGCTATTGACTCCCATTAAATGTTATATTTCAACTCATATTACAGATTTAATTAAAATTATGAATGAACATCTTAATTAATAACATAATTATAATATAATATTTATAATTTATAATTCAGGTACATTACGTTCTAACAACAGGGTTCATTTAGTTTTAGATTTCGTCCTGTTTAGAGATGCAGCATTAAAGCGTTTGACCCAGGTTGGCTTTCCTTGTGCCTTTCAGTTCTTGGCGGTGGACACCCAGCTGCTGCTTGGCAACAAGGAGCTCTCACTGAGCCCAGAGGAATACGTCTTTGCTGCTCTCAACCTCTACACGGACATCATCAACATCTTCCTCTACATTCTTGCTATTGTGGGCAGAGGCAGAGGCTGAGCGAAGGCAGCAGCTCAGACAGAAAAGTAGTTTGGAATAAAGAGTGTCCGTAATCAAAGCCTTCAATTTGCTTTCTAGCCTGTATTTATTATATGGTTAACAGCTGCTTTTGGTTCGTCCAATGTAAACGCTTCACTCTAGTCGATACTATAAGTGACCGAAGATCTCTTTGTATATGTTATATAAAAAAATTATTTTTTTCTCAGAAGATTTTATCTCACTACGTAGAAGGGAATCAGTGATGCAGACATGTGCAATTGGTCAGTGTTTGATGCAGAGTTTTATTCTGGTGTGACTGAAGGCCGAGAGGACTTTTTCCTGGACCAAAGACCATAAATCATCATTTGTAGTGTGATGTATGTTTTTCAAAAGCTGTCAGCAGCAAGGGCTGAAATGGCAGTGAGAAGAATAGGAAGAAAAAACTAAAGCTCCCGCTAAAAAAAAAAAAAAACGTATTAAAAAGTGACTACATAGTGGTCGTTTGGATAGATTTCTTCTGTTTTTCCAAAGTACTGTTTTAAATCTACACTGTTTTCCCAACGACGCTTTAAAGTCTTAAGTACTTTTGTAAACCTAATGTGTTTTCTTTCTATACAATAAAATTTGTAAAATGCATTCTATTGTAGTGATGTTTTGATTTAATTTGTTTTCAGCTGAGGTCTGGGTAGTTAGGGGTGCTTTTACCAGCACTGTATCCAACACCTTCACGATGAGCCTGGAACAATCCACAGCACTCTTGCAAGCAGAAAATGAGCAACTAAGGCAGGAAAATGCTCATTTTAGAAGCGCTCTCTTGGAATACGATGAGATGAGGTCCAGGATGCAGAGAGACCAGGGCCAACAGTCTGGTTTTACAGGTAAGGCGTTCCTCTTAACCACCAGGTGGTAGGCTTGGCTTTCTTAACATGCCAAGATTTCTCTTTTATTCTACCTAATTTAGATATACCCTGAATCCCTAAGATTTAAATTATGGTGACATGTTTTCAATTGAAATTGTAATAAGATAGTCTGGCTGTTCGATTAACAAAATAATAGAGTTAAATTTTACCACAGCTTTAATATAGCAGAAGTTGTAAAGTATCCAACCTTTGACTTTTGAAAAAGCAAAAGGACTAGAAACACTGTCTTCTTATTTTTGTCTAGGTATGAAACTTGTTTTGAATAAATATGAACACATGTACATAAAAACATAAAAAGATTTAAAGTGGTCTTTTCATATTAAAATATAGATGCTGCAAAGTTGTGTTTTTCATAACTGCCTGCTAGTCTGCATTTAGTTGGCATGGTAACGAGCAACTGAGCATGCTGAGGGATCCTTACAGGCAGATCTGCTGCTTACACTGTTAAGGTTTTAAATCAGATAATCACAGCACCATCACATTATGAATTTAGAAGCAGACCCAGACATTTGTCATGTAGCTGGAAAGATTTCTTCTGCTATTAAGGGCCAGTTAGATTCAAAAATGTTGCTATGGGGATGGTTAAATAATAAACACATTTTGCTCACTTGGCCCTTGTATACAAGCTTTGTTTTTACCTGATGCTATTATAAAAGTAATCCATTCATTCATCCAAGGGGTGACATATTCAGAGAGTGTAGCTTGCATCATGCAGGTCTGATCTAAGACAAACTGTTCTGTTCTTAATCCGCATAGTTTTCTGTTTTATATAACTTGCTACTATTAAAGCTTGTGATAGAAAATATGTGAGGACTTAGTGATTATTACAGTCAGGATTTTTATATATATATATATATATATATATATATATATATATATAAAAACAACAACAATTTCAACAGAAAATAAAATTGCTCTAACCTGAGAGTTTATATATTAACTATGAAACCTACTTTAGAAAATATTTATTCAAAGACTTTCATTACTCGGGGTTAAACTCTTTTTACGATGTTATTAAGTCCTCTGGTGCCATATTACAGTATTCATTTGTTGTCATTCATTACATTGCAGATTCTGCAGGACTTTTTTTTTACTTGTAAAGATGTATAGCTATGATTTCTAACCGTAGGACTTAATAACATCATAAAAAGAGTTTAACCCCGTTTAAAAACATATTAACAACATTTGTTCTTTACAAACATCCATTCCTTTTTGTACAGATTATTAGTTGTTCCGGATAAGGTTGTCAGCACTTTGATCTGGCAGCCATTATATGACATGAATTTTATACTCACCATTAATAATAATGGACCAAACCTTTTTATTGTTGTGGTTCCATACACTAGGCATGGACTCTAGAGGCCTGCAGCATAACAACATTGAAGAGCAACAGTTTAGGAGAGACCTGCAGCAGGACGGATGCAAACTGCAGCACAGAACATCGTCTCCGATTAACTTCAAGTCTTTCCTCCAAAGTGCAGCGCTGAAAGACGCTGAAGAAGCTGGAGAGCTTCACAAGACACAAGCTGATGTTCCTCCTTGCGCCATCGGTATTTCATTTAGAGGGGATTGATACAGCAGGTACATTTTTTTGTGCTTTTGTATTTCAGTAATTTTGTTTTCTTTTAGGTTCAACAAGGCTGCTTGGTGAAATTGCCTATCAGCTGGATAGGAGGATTCTGTCCTATGTTTTCCAGGCTCACCCGAGACTCTATGGTTTCACGCTCCGCAATATACCAGAGAAGATCATTGAGGTAACAGCTTTCTCAGAAGCAAACCTTAATGGTTTTAAAATTGCTCAGAAGGGAATCGATCGAAAACAGCTAAAACCAAAAATGGAAGTTTCTGTTTGGCTCAACAACTTCTGCTTTTCACAGCATTTTGAAAGTAAATACAGACTGAAAATTCCCCTGAGAGAATACAGGAAGTAATAAATGTCCCTTCATCTCTTGCAGGTGAGCACACACCCTCTGACGGGGAAGATGGATGGGGCCTATCAGCTCCACCTCACTCAAAGGTATAAAGACATCATGGAGATGCTCAGCCAGTTTGGCTACAAAGCAGCTCTCCACCCTCCTTTCTGTGAGTTTGTCGTCAATACATATGGGATCCTGATGGAAAGGCCGAGTAGAAGCAACACCCAAGAGGCTGACTACAATAATCCAGAATTTTTGAAGAAGCTGATAGAGAACACGGCTCCAAAGAAACTGCAGAAGGACCTGCTGCTGGTGCTCTCTTGTCTCTGCTTCATCGCAGAGAAGGACAAGGAGCCTCTCCTTGCATGGTAGTCATCACTGCAACCTAGGAGAATTCAAATCTTCCTGAAATAAATAATGAGGCGTGAAGATTATTGTTTCAGTGTTTTCAGTCTGCCCAAAAAAAGATGTATGTGCTGCTAGATGAGCTGTTGGAGGCATTGGTCAGACTTTGGGTGTGCAACTTTAACAAGATTGAATTTTGATGCAATTATGTCTCAAAGTTTCTCAGGGTATGTATATATTAACTTGAAAAATCTAAATGCAGAAGTTTGGCCCAGTGCTATTGTTCCATCAAGCTCTGTAGATGGATATAAAACATCACTTTTCAGGTCTTAAATTCTTAATTGAAATTCAGGTCCAGTCCATTCTAACATTATTTATTTATTTATTTATTTCCGTTGCCTTGCACAAATTAGGTTTATCTCCTGTATATAACTGCTAATTTCTCTTTTTTATAAGAATGAAAAGTGGACATTCCTACTTGAAAATGTAAACGAATGTTTTTGCTCAATAAAGTTTGGATCAAAAAAGGAAAGGAGAGGAATTAAATGGGCAGATAGGAACTGCATGTCGCTTCATAATGCAATCAGAAAAGTTTTTTTTACTTCTTTTTAGATGATAAAATGTCTTGAGGCAGGTGAAAAAAAATGGTTTGGATTTCAGTTTAAAAATATTTGACAGCGCTCCAACGCGTCTTAACTTGGATGCATGTAAATCTCGAGCCAACGCATCTCTATAGCAAAGATTGCGCTTACACAAACTGTAAAGATGTGAAATTTACGCAACAAACAGTGCAACAAACTTTCAAATGCTTTGTTATAAACCATTCAATTGTTGGAATTAAGGGGTATTAAATAGAAATACTACAGATGCGCAGTATTGGATTTTTGGACAATATCTGATGTTATGATATTTAAAAACTCAAAAAGGCTGATAACCGATAGTGATGAGTTGTTTCCCCCCAAACCTACCTATTGACACTTTGTATTTTTGTCTTTCTTGTCCTTCACAGTCACTACAAATACCAGCCTTGTTATTTATCTCTAAACTTTTAAAAACATCCACACCACTGACATTTTAACTTCTGAATCTCTCCTGGGTGCATGAGACCTGTTGGCATATTCCTCAACTTTATGTCACAAAACAGCACCTTATTGGTGCAATGGCTAATGTCAGATATTTAGAAATGAATAACAGTCAATAACATAATAATGATATTGTGCATCCCTAACAAATACATAGACAAGTTTATGTAAAGAAAAACACAGTGGGGCCAGTGATTTTTCATGGGGGAACAGAACAAAAGAATAACAAAATGAATAACAGCACAAGAGCACAAGTTATATTCTATTAATGGAGCCACACAATGGTAATTTTTAGATAACATTTTAAGTAAACTGTAAAGGCGAGACGTTCAATGGTTTTAAGGGACAAATCGGTTGTATGCTTTACTATTACACTGCAAAAACTGATCCTAGAAAATTAATGTTCCTTTAAATTAGTGTATGTGCCCCTAATTTCATTAGGTAAATGGATCACCTTTGGCCCTTATAATAACCTAATTTGATACTATGCCCTTGAAATAAGATCATAGTTGTCTTTCTTTTTTTCTTTTTTTTTTTTATAAATCATCTTATTCCTTTATTCCTTTGCTTGGATCAATGTAATATACAAATATTTCTAGAATTATTGACTCACATGCAAATTCTAGTAGCTCATCTTTTCAGTACAGCAGCCATAATAGGAGCCAAGACCAATTCTTGAGGGGCACTGGCCCCTGTTGGCCCCCATCTGGAACTGCCTGGGATGTGCCACTGGAAATAAGAAGTTCAAAACGAAAGCGAAGAGAAAATAACAAAAAAAAAGCCTTGAAATGTAAATGAGTTTTTTTTTTTTTTATGAATAAAGCGCAATGACGCATGTGGTGGGGGCGGGGCTTAAATCAAGCAGAACAGGAAGGGTTTACGTTTCAAAGTGCTGCTTTTACTGGTGTGGTGGGTTTTTATTATTATTATTTATTTCACTTCACAACCTTCATGTTTTGCTGTGGATATTTGATTAACAAAAATAAAGAAGCGATGTGACAACATGAGCTCCCATTGCTCCTAATGAATGGCCTCATCACACGGACTTCCGCGGGTGTCCCCTTCAGGTGCGACCAGCTGATCAAAGGCAGCAAAAGGCAGCAAAGGTGAGCGCCATAATCCAATGAGACTTTATAAAGCATCATAATCCAATAACCTCAGATTATAACCTAGCTTTGACATGAATCGCTTTTATTTTATATAAATATGCCTCCCTGGATCCTTATGAAAGCTCACAGCCTTGCAAATGAGCTGTGTGTGATTTTTAACTTTAAATGTTGCAGAACAAGTTTTACTAAAGTATCCTGTTAACTCTCTGTCTCCCAGCTGTTGTAGAGAGCGTTTTTCATGTGTAAATACACAAAGGTGTGGTGTTCAGGTCACATCCACAACACTATAGAATATAACTGATGCATACCACATGAAATGACTGTTTCACTCTGTGTATAGTATTCAGTATATTTTTTATTGTTACTCTACAGTCATTTGTGTTAATCTGTTTAATTTAAGTTTAGCTGACATGCTTAGACAAAGTGCTGCAAAAAATTAGTTTTTCTTCAAAGCAAGGTAGCATATTTCAGAAAACAGTTGTGTCTTTGTATTTTCCAATGCATGCATGGACTTGCAGGCGGAGACATTTTCTGGGAACTCCTGTGCAGGTTGACACTGTGTGCAAAGGAGGCCACACCTTTGTGTTTTTGTTTTCTCTTCTTTAGAGTGCGGCGGAGTTCTGGGAAGAAAAAATCTACCTTTGAAATCAGAGCAGAGCTGGATATCTGGATGCTGTTCATCCTCCGTTTTGTTTAGAACCAGTGGACGGCCATGGTTCTGCGGGCGTCACCCTTTTCCAATGGGTTTCTGGCCGCTATCCACGCCTTGGGGTGGGCTTTGATAGTGCCGGGCTTCTGGTACCTTGATCGTGTTCTTGCCGTGTGCAAGTCTACCACAAAGGAGAGGAGAGAGCGACAGGGACAAGAATGCTACCTTCACCCCCTGAATGTCTTCCTCGGATCCATTTTCTTCCTCCTGTTTTTCCTCCTCACTGCCCCCTTGGCTTTCCTGGGTTTTCTGCTATGGGCGCCGCTCCAGGCCTGCCGTCGCCCGTTCTCCTACCACAGAGCGGAGCCGACCTCAGCAGCGAGAGAAACAAACCGAGGCTTTGAACTAACAGGAATGGCGTCATTTACCTTTGCCTCAGCCAACCTGTGTCTGTTAACGGATGGCTTGGCCCGCTTCAACAACCTGGGTCACACCCAGCATAGGGCTTATGAGATTGGCAAACGTATCTCTGAGAGTGTGGGGCGAGCCCAGGTGGTGATCACAGTGGAATCCCCAAGCAGCTGTGGCCCTCTCAGCCCCTCTGACAGCATCATACCCAGAGCATGCTCAGATGCAGATGGAGATACAGAGGGACAGCCTCAACCCGGAGGACATCATCAGTCAGAACCAGCAGAAAGCTCTGCTTCCTTTAACGGTGTAGAGGCCAAACTGACAGAACGCTCCTCTTCCCAAGCCAATTCTAATGAGAGCCCCAACAAACGGGGGCAGTCGGATGATGAGAGTCCTGCTGCTTTGATCTCCAGGCGTCCTCGTCAGCAGGATGAGGAACCCTGGGAGGTGTCGTCGCTCTTTCCAGCCAGCGTCGACATACTGTGTCTGGAAGAGGTGTTTGATAAGAGAGCTGCAAAAAAGCTCACCAGAATGCTGAAACCACTGTATGGACACATCCTGTATGACGTTGGGGTGTACGCCTGCCAGCCGCCCTGCAGGTGTTCTGCTTTCAAGTTCTTCAACAGTGGCCTGTTCTTGGCCAGTAGATTCCCGGTGCTGGAGGCCGAGTACCACTGCTTTCCTAACAGCAAAGGAGAAGACGCCCTGGCGGCCAAGGGTCTGCTCTCTACTAAGGTGCTTATAACACTCACAATGACCAGGTTTCCTGATATAAGTGCTATAATAGCTGGATGGATGGATGGATGGATG